TTACGTATGATTATTTGGCATTTTATTGATGTTGACAAAATCCGACCATCCCAGCGTCGAAACGGCGATCTTTTGGCAAAAAATTTCATTTTTCCTTAATTACTCCTAAACCGTTGATTCTACGGGAAAATTATATACAACCTTTCTTGTAGAGGACGACGAGAGCTACAATTTCTGTATAAAATTTTTTCGCTCGCATTAATATTTAACGAGTTATTGACGAAAAACTAAAAAACAGTTTTTTGCAAATTACTCGTTAACTATTGACGCTAGTGAAAAAAATTTACATGGAAATTATAGATCTCGTCGTCCTCTATAAGAAAGATCATATGCAATTTTTCCGTACGTGCAACGGTTTGGGAGTTATTGACCAAAAACGAAAATTTGGAAGAAATTGATTGAGTCCCTTTGGAAAAATCTCGGAAAAATCGAAAATTTTTTTTTGTTGTTTATTATTAGCAATGTTCTTCCGACGTCTGATTTCTCTTTGAAAAATGCGTTTCTAAGGTGCATAAACTTTTGGGATTGACTGTATAGCCAATACATCCTTAACTTTACGACGTGCATCGTTTAACCGGCAGCCAGTCAGGTGACATTATTGTTACCGCTCAAACGAATCGACATGAAATTCTGACCGAACCGAGATTAGAATGCATCGAACGGTACGAATTGGTACGCGCAATTTACGACGCGTCTCAAGATCGATCCGTTCGCGTTACATCGCTTCTAATTCGATCGTGGACGCGGTACGCGTCGGTGATCACCGATGGTTTACCTCCATCGCCTCGTCGACTGAAGAAATTAATTTTTTGAACGCGTCGCTCCGTCGAGTCCATGTTCCGTTTTCAGAGAGGATTCGTCCTTTTCAGTTATGCAACGATGATTACCGTCTTCATACGTTTTCACGGAGAAACCGTCCGTGACTGGTCTCCGGTAAGAATTATAGCAATTGATACCACGTGTGCGATTAGAACGATTCCGTAAAATTCTCTTTTAAATCGCACGAACCGAGATGCGTGCCGTGATACGTACGAGCACTATCGTAAATTCCTGCATTTTTCATTTCGTAGCCGTCTCTCACTGAACGGTGACACGACGAAGCGAAGGACGCGATATTCATCTACGCCGCGATCCTCCTCGTTCACAAGAAGAAGAATACTGATCTCGGTTCTAGGAACTAGGAAAACGCGATTTCAACCGAGCTTTTGTATTAATTGACACCGTCTGAAATTCGTTCCGGCAAAATTGAGGTAGCGATGTAAATTACATAGTTTGTTAATTGCCGCTCGTTAGAAACACGTTCCCGAGCACATGAATATTTATTAACGCTCGAGACACGCTTCCTCCGACGTTGCATTCCTGCGAAACGTTCCCTTGCGTTCCTTCTGTTCTCTTCCGACTACTTCTCTTCTGGCTACTCGTAAGCAATTTTTTAATCGTAATCGGTCAGCCTTCCCTTTAATCTCGACGTCGTTCCATCGTTCGGCCGAGTGGAGCGTTCCCTACGAAACGACACGAGTTCTGTCCCCGTATAATTTGTATATCAGAGAACAGGGATGAAGAAAGAACGCGACAAATTAAGACCAGACGCGTCGTTTACCGAACGTTTAATCGACGCGAAAATTGTGAACGTTAAGACGTTCGATTTTTCGGCGCAGTTCATCTTTTCCGCTCCCTTCCGTCGCATCGGTAGACGAGTCTTATGGTAGACGACGTGACCAGCAGTGGATTACGAGATACGGCACAGTAATTACCGCGAATTGCCAGCGTTGTCGGAGTTGAATGTTGGCCCATTACAAATGTAATTGCATAACTCGTGCACCGTTGGACTTAGTGGACGAACCGAGTGCTGACTATCCTCTTTCCGATAGATCCTCTGTTTTTCCCTCTTGGTGACGACGCGATGAATCGTAACGCTCGAACTCGAGTCGAAGAAGGTCTGCGACCGGTTTCGATCGCCGATCGTCGACGATCTCGATCCGACGCATCGAGGCCCGCGAAGACGAACGGTGGTCAGATATAGAGTAGTGCGGAAACGCGCTCGCTCGACGATGGATCGTCTTCCGTTCGAGCCTCGGCATGCGTTACACGCGGGGGGTGACGGAGACGGGCGCGTGTTCGCGCAGATTTCGGCTCCTCGACGCGGCCAGCACGTCGGTTAAGCCAAGTTTGAAGAAGAGGCACGTCGTCGGTTCTTTTCCCTCGTTGTTTATCCTTAGATTATTTAGATATGGCAGGCACGTGTGTCTTCGAAAAAACCTTCGAGCGAACGAAGCATTGAATTGTTGCCGTTCGAAACGTTTCCGCGTGTAATCACGCGGTTCACGAGGTTGACCAAAGTAAGCGGTATGCACGATCGCGAGAATAAAAAAAGATGACTCGGAGCTCGATTCAAAAGAATCGTATTGGTACGTAAAGACGTGTATGTACTCGTACGAGTGTCGTGCGTGTCGTCATGAATCTCCGCTATTATCCATTTTGTCCGATTATGTGCTCGACGCTGTAAACGCGCGCAAAAAAAAGCCGCTGGCAAAACTAGTGTGGGACGATGAAAAAATGCAACCTCGTTCGCTCGACCGCGTTCGTTCGAGTGGACCAACTTCGATATCGACAAATCGATCGATTAAGAAAATAGACACGTTCGATCAAGGTCGGAACGAAGAGGAAACACGCTCGCGACTTTAGACCGCGGATTTTCATACAGACTCTCGCGACGTCGATTCAAGATCAAATTCAGACGAGATCTAACGTCTTTGAGCCGTTTCTTCCGGCCATCGATTGTCGTCGCGAGTGCACCAAGTCCGCGATCTAGTGCCAATTGCATCATCGAGAATTTCTGTGTCGAAAGCGAGAAGTAGAGAGTTGTTGCACAGAAATACGACAATTGCGACGATCGCGAAAGTATCGACCATTTCCTCCTCCGCGACATCCGAGACGATCGAAGCGTCCTCGACGTTCCTTCTTCCTCGTGAAATAATCCGTGATTCCGTGCCACGCCGTTCTTTTTCTCACGCGTCTGAAACGCGAACGTGGAAGGTAGGCCGTCGTATCGCAAATTTGAAGCAATTTAACCCGAACCGACCTCAACGATCTCTATTACGTCGCATCATCTTATCGTCACGTGAAAATGTAACGAGGGCATCGAAATAAAGGAAAGCGTAAGTAAAGACGTCGGTGACGCGAAAGAAAGTGAGAACAATGTGCAACGTGCATCCATCGATCAGATTCCGACGACCGGAAACGTTCAAGAATCGGACTCGTCCCGCGCCTCTTCATCTTCTCGTTGTCCGTGACTTCCCAGAACTCGTTTACTTATTTTCCAATTGAACGACGTTCCTTTTTCTTCTCGTTTAAACATCGAGGGACCATCCTCCGCGCTCGAAAACTCACCAAGAACGTTGCCGAGCAATTTGATCCACGATTACGTCGTTAGAGCTCCGTTCTTTTTTCCCCGCGGCCAGTTGAACTCGCACGGGTCCGAGATCCCGTGGTGGAACGCGGCAAACTATGGCCGAGATGCTGGTGCCGGTAAGCGTTTCAACGCGTGACAGGCCGGTAGTTCGTAAAACGATTCCTGATGTTGCGTAATTCCGATCCAGTTACCATTGCATTCGACTTGTTTCTGTCCGTGATTGTTTCGTCGCGTCGAATCGACCTGACGCGTTTTAATACGGATCGTGGTTTCGTTTTCTGAAATCGATCGACGCGAAATACTGGAACGCAAACTTTCAACGTCAGCTGCACCGTCGAGCGTAGAAATTTCGCAATCCTTCTTCATTCGAACAGAGTCAATTTCTACGAGTTCTTAACTTTATCGACGAACGAGCAAGGCGGGTCTTGGACGACGAAACAGGCACCCGGTCGACGACGAGTAACGCTTTTAAAGAGTAGTCGTTAAGATGTCATTATCGGTCGTACAAGCCGCGTCTCGTGATTCGATATCGTCTGAAGTAAATTCCGTACAGGCGTGAGAACGAATAAAAATACAATACGAGAGAGCGATTCCTGCGTCCCTCGCTGCCGCGAACGCGTAATTATCCTTGCATCGGCAGAGCCGTGTCGTGCCTCGTTATTTCATTTTATCCTCGCTTTCTCTCGCTACGACGCCGTATCTCTGCTGGTCTCTTCGACATAGATTCCGAACAATGATCGAGAGAACCTATCGTTTCGCAAGCGACTACGGCGACGGAACGCATAATGTGCAGATTTTGCCAGTTTTTATCTCCGTTACATACCCGTTCGATTCTATTCGTTTTCAGTTTTCTTCGCGAGATCAATTGGAAATACCCATCCGTTCAGAGATGCTATTATCACGTAATTTACCAGGAACGGATCTATGGACGTTCGAATCGATTTTGTTGAGAAGAACGCGCGGTCGTCACTGTGCGTGATTCGGTGACAAAGAAAACTACGAATAAACGAGAGAACGACGGAAATACAAAAATCTCTGTAAATCGAGGACGCGAGACAGGCCACGGAACGAAGTCTCGTCGTTCTGGTGAAAAACGACGGGACCAGCCTTCGATCTCGCTTTCGCTCCAACGAACGACGACGACGACGACGACGACGACGACGACGACGACGACGACGACGACGACGACGACGACGACGACGACGACGACGACGACGACGACGACGACGACGACGACGACGACGACGACGACGACGACGACGACGACGACGACGACGACGACGACGACGACGACGACGACGACGACGACGACGGTGACGACGCCGTCGTCGAACCGGGTCAAGTGCATTCAACGACTACGTTACGAGCTCCTATGCGCGACTCGGCCTGTCCATCCGGAGCGCGTTCAAAGGAACTGACGAATTACATCGTTAATAGCCCGCGACACGCGTCACCGTGGTCGACGGAGTGAACACGGTGGTCCGATCTGCGTCATTGATCAATGGACGTTCAAACTAATTAGAGGATCACGCTTCCGGACGATGCGACCATTGACGAGCGTACACACATGCATACGATGGTTCGAAGGTCCGAGCGAAAGGTGTTCGTACTAGTTTAAATGGTTGTACTTATGTCGGTCCGTCGTTCGTCGCGAGTTCCTCGAGATCTCTCGATCTCGTCGAAAATTCTCTTGGTACACAGAATCTTGTCCATAGAGAGACACGATCTTCCGAACCCTGCCGAGATATCGGAAGAGGCCTTTTCGCGCCGTCACCGAGCGGTACTCACGCGTGCAGGAAACGTGAAAGAGCGAGTACCGAGATCCTCGGCCAATGAACATATCGTGCCTGTTCGCACACGCACGCATCACCCAACGACACGGACGACAATTACTCCGAGCAAAATCAACGACTCACGTTCATCCACCGTTCGATACTGGGAAGAGGAGGCATCGGGCGATTCTCGGTCCCCGTGAATTCTTCGGCGAGCCTCGAGCTGGGCCTGTTCGTCGATCCGAAAAACGGTCCTGGTCCTTTTGCTCGACGCGCGACGAGATATCTTTCTCGCAAAACGTTTACTTATCGCCTGCTTATCGCCAATCTCGACGAAGCGACGCGCGATTCGAGTAGATCGTTCGAAGACGTGGAAACGGTGGCTCGGAACGAGTTCGATGTGTCGCGTCGCGCGAACGTTCGAACTGGTAGCGATCGAAAATCGCGAGTCTCACAGACCCCCTGGAGGAGCGACGATCGGCGACGGGTCCGTTCTACTCACCGTTGAAAGCACTACTGCCCGACCCGATCCGATCCTGCGGTGGCAACGCACCGGCTCGAAGGTACACGTATTCTAATACGCCAATCGGACTTAAGAGCGTGATCGCGACGCATCCCGTCGATTCGCGTGTCCATTGACAGCGGCCCGACGAACCGGTACGCCGCTGCGCGTTGCGCTGCGACCGTTCTCCACACGATTTCGCGCAATTCCTGCACTTCCGCTTTCTTACCGTCGAATCGATTGGTCTCCTCAGAGATCGACTCTGCAGACCTGGCACGTTTCGCTGAAACTTCTGATCGCGCGGTGGTCACCGCAGATCCTTTAATTATCGTACCGTTATTAAAACGGGCCGAGCCCGTCGTGTGAACCCGATGAGTTTGTCATTACTCATTATTGATCGTCGGGGATTACCGTACGAAAAATTAGCGATCGTTAGTTTTCTCGTTTCGATCGTACTAACCGGTTGCGACTATTTGTTTTTCGGGCCACGAACTCGTATGTACTGGTACGGGTTTTATCGGTACTTGGTCGGTTCTGTTGATACAAAAGATCCGGGAGTTCTTCGGCGGAAATTCCCCTCGACTTCGTCCTTCCGTTCGGTATTCCGATTCGAGTCGATGACTGCGGTATTCGGTCCGTCGCGGCTTCGTGGCACGCGGCAGTGTATACCACGAGGAAGCTAATGAATCACGTCAATCGTAAGAACAGTCGTTCCAAAGCGCCGAGTCTGTACGTCTCGCATCGGTGATCGTGCTTTTGCCCCCTTGGGTTAATTTAAAATACGCGAAAACTCAAGATCGCGTCGTCCGTTCTCCCTGTTCCTTCTATGCTGCGTCACGGTGGATTTGTACTACGCGTCTACTCGTAAAAGTAGGGCATTGCGAAATTCGCTTCTAGGGACGCTCCGAGCGTCCTCAATGCCATGTAGGGCCTGATCCATCGCGTAGGATCAGGGAACGGTTATATTTAGAAAATAAATTGCGAACGACGAGCTCGGTCATCGTCGGTTCACTGATCGCGTACGATTTGCAACGATTACGAAACTGTTCGTCCGATGATTCAATCACGAACTTTAATTATATTTTCATTGCGGAACGTAAGAGTGGCCGATTGAAATGTGCGGACGAACCGCATTCTTAAAAACGTGTGGCCTCTCCTAAACCGGGTTGGGAAATTATTTCGGACTCAATGGGTGATTAAAACGAGAGAACTAGTAAAAGCGTTCTTTGTTGTAAAAAATTAATGTTCCGATATATCCTAATTACAAACATGTTTAATATAGTTCCACGAATGGATGCAGGAATCCTGTAAAAGGCAGCGAATTTGTTCGCGTATCATCAAATGGTCAGATCGATAAACGTGACAACGGACAACGATTAAATTTGTCGTACTTTCAATTTCCATCACGCCGACTCAACTGCTGTCCAGAATCTTATAGAAATACTCCACCTGTACAAATAAGATTGATCGTTCTACGTGAATCAATGTTAGATCGCGCGAGACCGAAAGTGTGTATCACCTCCAGAGTCCCGTCCTCTGGTAAATCGGAACAGTGCACCGCGTTTTGTACTTTGGTCTTCCCATACTTGGCACGAAGCGTGTCCGGTCTCACTTGCCGCGCGATGTCCTGCACAAACGCTAGCGTAAATATCACAAAACAGTCCTTACGAGTCTGTCTATGATCTGCACTAACCGGATCCATGGGTCCGCACAATTTTCGAAATTCTCCCTGAACATCGAACTTTTCGTCCTTGTGCTTTATCTCCATGACGATGCACGGCCCTGATTGTAGCTCTCCTACCATCGCCTACGGAAGAACAGTTTCTTCTTTTGAAGAATTCGAAAGAATAGTGCGTGGTCGGTGATCGAGGATGAACTCACCGCGTAATCGGGAAGAACTCCCTTGTAAACTTCTAAAAATTCTTCTGCGTCAAACGAATTAACGACGAACTGTTGTACGGCAGATACAGCGAAACCAGCTTTCTGAACATCGTCGATGATATCTCCTGTGTCAATGAATCACGAAGCGTGTCAAGTACTACCGTCCGTCAGGGCAGAGATTTACGTATTTAAGATATGATTCTGTATACCGGTCAACTTGGATTGTACCGCGTGTGGTTTAATGATGCAGCAAGTGCAATTCTCCAGTGTCGCCGTATTCGCTGGCCCCTTCTTACCGGTCTTTGGATCGGGAAAGAAGAATTCTAATTCCTATGGGAGAAAATGCGTAAACGTAGAAAACAAAATCGGAGCCAATAAGAATTTCGGAGACGAACCTTCTCCGCTCTTTCCTCGTTCTCAGAACCATGCACCGCATTATGTATCACATCTTTGCCGTAACGCGCTCTCAGCGAGGACGGAGCTTTCTCAATAGCCTCCTTGCTATCTTCTGGTCCCATTGCTTCCAACCAACGCGTGACTGCATGATCACCCAACAGTTCTAGAGCTACGATAGGACCAGAAGTGAGATAATTTACCATATACCTGATTAAAAATACAGAAAATAGAACCGACGCTTGAAACCTAAAGATACAATTTCTATCTGACACGTGTCCTTACGCTATGTTACTCTGCTCTTTATAATCGCAGAATCGTCTCGCCTGCTCCTGAGACAACTTCACCATTTTTATGTTCGCCACGTGGAAATTGTTGGACACTATATACTTCAATATTTCGCCGAACTTGTCGACGATGCTAGGTTTCACCATCGCGAACGTCCTGAAAATAGGCAAGGAACAATTCGTGAGTCGTCAATACATACAAACGATCGGTTGTCATGCAGAGTAAGACCGATCATGTACTTCTGCATCTTCGTTTGCAATTTCGTTCGCGTCACACAGTCCGCGTAATCTGTTATCCTTATGCTCCGTGAAAATATCGTCACGGTGGCACCGGGGTAAAAATGTTTTGCCTCTATACCTTCGCATTTCGTTCTCCTTAAAAATATCTTTCTGGCCTTCAAGTCGAACTGTGAATCACCAGATGTAATTAAAAACAAGCATTACAAGAATGGACGCGAGAATATTACAAGAAATCTGATACGTACCAGTTCCACGGTATTGTCGGACGGATAATAATACAGATAAAACTTCTTTAAAATACTAGCTATTTTATCGTACCATTCGGCATCGAAGATGTATTTTTCATTGTGATCTACCGACATTGTTCCAACTAAATTTATTCACACACTCCCGTGTTCGATGCTCTACCTTTTATGTTACGTAGGGTTATACATCAGAAGCATCGACAGCTTCGTATCAAAAATATTCAGATTTATGTGATGCAATAAATTGTTTGTTACTATAGACACTGTTGTCATTTGTACTCTTTCTGTTTGTTTCGATCGTCTCTATGACGACAGTACACCAAGCGATTTTGGGGCATTGAGAGCATACACGTGGCACCATCTAGCGGTTATGGCCGCGAAAGTACTTGGCTCCAATGAATTTGGAGTTGCTAGTGGCGCCATCTAGCGTTCACAGATGCGAACCAAGAAGATTGACGAAATTCGACGGTCGAATTAGCGAACTTTTAACAAGACATTTCGTTTTTCCTCAATAACTCCCGAACGGGTGGTCGTAGGGGGGCGTATTTAGGCTCATTTTGTAGGGGACGACGAGGTCTACAATTTCTGTGCAAAAAGAATTCGCTAGTGTCAATTAGGTTAGGTTAGGTTAACGAGTTATAGACGAAAAACGAAAAACTGTTTCTTGCAAATTACTCGTAAACTATTGATGCTAGTGAGAAACTGTTATATAGAGATTGTAGATCTCGTCGTCCTCTACAAAATGA